TGGCAAGGGCATCTCTTCAGCATATTAGTCTGCAGCCCTCCTGTGACCTTGCTGGTACAAAGCTCATTCAGCCTCACAGGCCACCTGTTTGCAGAGGCTCCGCCCCCAGGCTTTCTCTACGTTCTCTCTTGCGCTCTCTCTCTCTCTCTCTCTCTCTCTCTCTCTCTCTCTCTATATCTTTCTCTCACACACACACACACACACACACACGACCTTCCTCTCTACAGCCACAGGCAAGCTTGCCAAAAATGACTATGAAAACAGACTTCATAATGGAGAGTCCAGTTCTTCTCTTTACTATGCTCTTAAGGATCCAGTTTGCTGGGGACCCTCAACAAAGACCAGGGTCACTCTGCACAATGTCTCACCCCAGGATGAGAGCCTAACAAATGTACTGATTCCAGCATAGAGAGCAACCCCCACCCCATCACTGCATCAGAGGTCTGGCTCCCTAGAAGCTTCAGGACAGAGACAATCTAACCTGGTCACCTTTGTGATTGTGAGCCTGCCACAGGGTCTGGCACTGAAAGGGCAGGGCTGGTCCCAGATGCATGGGCACACACTCAGCACTCAGGGAAAACTGCTGCTCCCTTGCTCCCTTCCTAGCAAAGCCCCTCAGGACCGGCATTTTCAGTCTAGTTCCCACACTGACCCTGCTTACACCTAGCCCACACCTTTGTCCTGCCTGGCTCACTCCTCCTTGCTGTCTCTCCCGGCTATGCATGCCCATCATATGCCCACTGAAAAGAAGACCACGACAGTGCAGAGCCAGAGAAATGACTTCTGTGCTCCATCCAAAAACCAAGACCCACAAGCAACACTGACCAGCAAAAGAACTTTCTGGAAGAAAGAAGTGCTCTCTACCTGCGCTACCTGGATGTTTACATTTGTCAGAGCTCTTCAGACTGTACATTCATTTAACTAGGAGCGTCTGCTTATGGAGAACAGCAGCCTGGTATAGAGCAGCTCCTTAGACTTGTACAGCAACCTTTGTTACCTCATCTTAGTCTCAAAACATCCCATGATTATTGTTGTTCTCCCTCCTTAAAAACCTGGATGCCAGCTGGGTCTGGTGATGCGCGCTTTTAATCCCAGCAGTTGAGAGGCAGAGGCAAGTGGATCTCTGTGAGTTGAAGGCCAGCCTGATCTACATAGGGAGTTTCAGGTCAGCCAGTGCTACATAGTGGGATCCAGTCTCAAAAACACCAATGCCCACCCCAATATACACAAAACCTCTTTGGAGGCTGGAGAGATGGCTCAGCAATGAAGAGCACTGGCTGCTCTTATAGAGGACCCATGTTCAGTTCCCAGCTCCCACATGGAAGCTAAAAACCGTCTATAACTCCAGTTCCAGGAGATCTGATGCTCTTTTCTGGCCTCCACAGGCATTTCACGACATGAGTATACTTGCATACATGCTAGCAACACACCCATACACAAAACAAAAATAAATAAATAAAAATTTAAAACCTGAATGCCAGGTTTCTGCCATACGGTGTTATGGTCAGTCATCATTATTTGTTGATTCCATATTGCAAGTTCAGCTAATTACCAACATTCATTATTGGCCCCCAAACATCACCATGACACTTTTGAAGTCACTCATCTGTATCTTCATGAAGGGTGGGAAATGACTCAAGCCACGTGTTCTCAGCTGGGGTTGGAAGAGGTGACATTTTACCTTCCAGTTTTAATAATTACATTATTAAAAAGGGTCCTACAAGGCCTATTTAGTTCCACAATTTTATGTTTTGTCTTTTTTGATTTATGAGTTGTGTTGAAGTGCTGCCTAGTGTTCCTAAGCACACCATAGCCATGGTGTAATACTTAATGGATTTATTCATCCAATCAGTGTATTTTAATTTAGTATATAGTATGTGCTAGGCGATGGGAAGAATAGCAGGGAACAAACCACAGGAAAAACCACTGTCTTTATGGAGGAAATGAATGTAGTTAACTCAGTAGAAGGTAACAGATGGCCTAGGAAAGACAGGAGGGAGATGGTGTGTGTGTGTGTGTGTGTGTGTGTGTGTGTGTGTGTGTATGTGTTAGAGAAGCTTTGTTCAGCAGTTATGGTGGCGTACACTCATAGGATATTCAAAGAAGCAGAGGCAGGAGGATGATGAGGTGGCAGAAAGCAAGGGTAAACCAAAGCAAAGGAGAGTCAGGATCATTCATGAAGGCAGCTATCACACAGGAAGCCAGCAGCAGGTATGAAGTTACAACGCTGTGGGTCTTGAGTTCAAAGTTAATGAATTAACAATGTATATTGAGGAAGATGTCTTTAAACTGAAACACACAGGAAATGAGGTTATGCATTAATCCATTAATGAAAATGTTGTGACTAGAGGTTTCCAGGAGCCTAACCTTATACCTCCTTTACGAGCAATGGTTTGGTATTTACTAACTCAGTGTTCACAGGGCTTCGTAGAATATCACTACTACACATAATGAGAATCAGTTGTACTCCCCTAAAGCCCCACAGTTATGTAAGACACAGAACTAGACTCTACTGATTTCCATGTCAGCAATTATTCCAAGGTCCTCTGTTACATTCCAATAGTAGCTCCATTGGACAGAGTGGTTCCATTGGACAGGGTGGCCCCAGAAGCAGTAGCTCAGTGCTGGAAGCCAGACAAGACGACAACCCTGGACAGCTCCTGTTCTCTGAGTGCCTACTTGTAGGAAGGGCTGGCATATGATATCCAAACTTGAGTGAGACAGGATGCTAGGAGGTGAGGGGAGGCAGCAGGAACATCTTCCAGCTAAGCAAAGGCAGCTTGAAGCTCTGACACCCTCAGGAACCAAAGCATGCCATTCAAGGAGAAACATCTGGAAAACCACTGGGGTCAACCAAACAAGAGGCAGAGCACTCATATACTTTCAGCCACTGCTGCAGCCTATAAGATCCCTGTCCATCCTACCTTTATGCCACAGCATTCCACTGACCACCAAGTGTCTGACTCAAGTGGCTAGCCCCATTCAATTCTCCCATAATTCAGTGATGTAGGCGAACAAAGCATCATCCTTTCCAGCTCACTGGGGAGGGAACAAGGATACTCGGGAGATATGGATTTGGATTCTGTGTCAGATTCATGGTCATGTCCATGGCTGTTCTTTTTATGCCAGGTTGAGACTGGAGCTGCTGGCTTCCCTGTGTGATAGTCACCTTCATGAATGACCCTGACTATCCTTTGGTTGATTCACCCTTGTTTTCGCTGCCTGAAAAGAGTCAGGTATTCTACTCCACAAGCAGAAACTAGGGCCATAGGGGAAGTTGTATCTGGTATCTTCTCCTTTCAGTCCTGCTTAATCCAGCCATGAGAATGGGAAGCAGGGTACTCCAGCCCCTCTGCAACCATCTCATAGAGCCAATGCCCCAAGTTCTCACAGAGCTCAGTGTCATATGGGGCTGGGACAGCATCATGACACAAAGCAACAGGAACACAGAGATCTATGTAGGATCCTTCATGGTTTCAGGGAGGGGCCATCTCCACCGATTGCTCCATAGTGACATTTGTGTCATGCTGGGAACAACTAAGTCATGCTCAACCAAACAGGTAGCCTCAAGGTCCCAAAGGACGGCAGTAGGTTGGGAATATATTCCCTTTCTGAGAGATCTCATTGTGTGGGACAAGGAATTTTATCTCCTTCTTCTTTATAAGGCAGCATCAAGGAAGTTTTCTGGCTTGACAGGAGCTGGTCTGCATGCTGAATGCATCCCTCCACTCTGTTTTGTGTGGGATATTTCTGGGTTCCACTGCACTGTTACCTGATGACCTTGGTATATACTTGAACACAGTTTCTTATCTGTCTCTGAGTTATGTACATTTCAATGTAGCTCAATGGTTCTTCATTTCTTTATTCTGTAATATGCCTGGAGGGTTTTAGGCCTTCCCTTAAGGAACTCAAACCTTCATTATGTCTGACACCCAGAGATAGGGAAGTTGTCTGTTCCCTTGGAGAGGCTGTATGAGAAATTAGGAGAGTATTTCTAACTGTCAAAATCTAAGAGAGTGTTTTCTCCCTTTGGGAGAAGGAAGAGACACGATCCTACTTCCAATTTCTTATAGCTAAAAAATACTGAAAATTACAGTAAATGTCATTGGTCCCAAATAATTCACACTCTTACTGGGAAGACTGAAGCTTTCTCCTTAGTTTGTAATGCTTGTGCCCAACTCAGAGATTATCAGATTTCAGAGAGTCACAGGGAGCAACCATAGCCATATCAGGGTCAAATTCCATTGGAATGGGGTTCAACAATGGTGGCTACTCCAGTTCATGAGAACAAAGATCTTTGGATCTCCAAAGAAAGGATTTCAGTTTTCAACCATTTCCTGGTTGGTCTGTACCCCTCAGTTCATTTCCCAGGCTACCATTTGCCTCCTTTTTAGTATGACTGCCCTCTCCCCAGTTCGAGAAAACAAAATGGAGCTAGTACAGATGGCAGTACAGAAGCCTGGGCTTCTTTTTCCCCTGACATTCCGCTGATGAGAATTAGGACAGCAAAGAGAGGGTCCTCAGGCTCGCCACACTTAAACCACATACCCAAGCACTAGGAAATTTTACAGCTATATTGTAGGGCATACTGAGTAAATGCTGAATTAGGAGATGGTATCACATACCCAGCATATAGTTTAGTGGCTTAGGTGAACCTTGAGAGAAAAGCCCTGTGTTCTCTTTGTCTTTTGGCAGGGGTGTCTCAGTGCTGAAGAATCAGTCTACAGCCAAACTGAAGTCAGAAAAGCCTAGGATTCTGTCTTTCTATGGCTCCATGGTGTCATTGTTCATGGTGACTGCCATATTCTGACCTGTCGTCATTCCATGGTGCCATTGCCATACATGTCTTAGGGAAATTTGACTATTTGAAGTGAAACCAGAAAGAACAGAAGAGAGATAAAGCTTACAAAGGGTGCATGGATGGAAGAACTAGGAAAGAGGAGAAAAGAAGAAAGGGCAGGGGAAGCAGGAGGTAGGAGGAAGGGGCCAAAGGTACTCACATGTTGTGGAGCACACACCAACCACAGTGGGGATCACCTGACCCAAGACACTCTCCACAGCTCCGGTACTGCCCGCAGGACTCCACTGGGACTCTGGTGAGCTAGGACAGCACAGCAAAGACAATGCAATCAGTCAAGAATCTGTAGAGCATCCACTGGTCCACTGCTAAAGCTGCTGTTCTAAACATCGTCATATCACCTAAGACACTGTAGGATCATGAAGGTGCTTAGAGCCCACAATCAAAGAGACTGTGAGGGGCCATATTGAGGCAGGTGGCTGAATAGGATCCTGAAGACACTACCACCTGCTAGGTTCTAAGATGTATCTGGAAATACAGACTCCGTAGAGTTGACACAAAATTATTATAATACTTAATACACATTTAAATTTTCCTATTGCTCACACCCTCAAATATTTTGGGGAATATCCAACCCATCACATTTGTTTCCCATCAATGTAATAACATGAACGTTCACCCCTTCTCCATCTTGCTTCACTTTTCCCCACCTGGTCCTTTACATCTCAGCATTTTTGCTTTTGCAGAGTACTTAACCTCCCCCCCAGCACTCTCCTCTTTTCCTCCCAGCTTTTTAACAAGGTGCCTAACCCCCGCTGTGGCTGTTTTCTGCCCTCTCTTGCTCATACTATTGACCAACTGGCTCCACAGATTTTTTTTCACTGTGGTGCTTTCAAAGATCAGCCTCGCTATTTCTCCCCCTACGCACACCCTTTCCACGATTCAAGGCTTTCTCTCCAACCCAAAGACTTTACACTAGCTTCCAACAGCAGCTTGTTAACATAAAATATTCCACATGACATTTTTGCTTAGCCCAAATGCTTCCATTTCCTGTAAGCTCTTAAATATCTTTCGAACTTCTTTGCTCTCCAAGGCAGCATTGATGTCTCTTTACATGACATCCTAGTACCTGTTACATAGTAGGCACTTAAAGGTGACACTCACAATCAAATGGAATCTTTATTTTCTTTTTATAGCCTTGGTTTTATTCTCTATTTTGCTGGTTTCTTCTTTACAAAAAGTTTTTTTTTCAAGCATCCTTTCTCATTTGGGATAGTTTGTCTTGTATCTCAAGGAAGGGCTTCTAGCCTGCTCTTTCAGCTAGAACTAGGAAAAATGGACGTGGTTATCACCAGACAACCAACACAGCAAACTGTAACCATGCTGACCCAGCTGAGCCCTCTACTCTTGAGTGAGTGAGTACACAGGCTCTGTTTTCCCTGCTGTTTCGTAAAGTGTCTACCGCTGTAAAACCATGTCCACTTGGCAGGGGCTGCTTGTAACTCACACACAGGGAAACTGGCACCAGAACCTGCTCAATTAGTCTCCAAACTCTTTTGGAACTAATTAATAGTTAATTCCAAGTCCCATGTGATCTTTTCTCCCTTAATTTTCATATTCCTTTATATATCTTCTTGTTCTCCACATTGATTCACCTTAGTGATCACCCTAATTTTCCCTTCCTCCTTGTAGGCACCTCCTCTCATTTTTACAGCTTCGTCCTTGGTCTCTACGGTCCTTTCCCAATGTCTGTTTTGCGCCTGTATATGTGTGTGTGTGTGTGTATGTGTGTGTGCATGTGTGTGTACACAAGTGCATGTACCACAGCACATAGGCGGAGGGCAGAGAACAATTGTGGGAGTCTAGTCTCTCCTTCCACTATATGGGCACCAGGGATACAATTCAGGCTGTCAGGTTTGGCTGCAAGCACCTTTTCCCACTGAGCCATCTGGCTGGCCCCTGGAATTTTATCTTAGTTTCTATTACTGCTCATGTAATCTACATGGACCATACCTGGACTCTGCCCCCACACAGACTCTCAATCTTTATAATTAACCTCAATAGTCAGTTTCTTAAAAATTACCCCACTGGTTCTACAGGCAGCTAGGAATTTAGCCTATTCCAGATGCCTCTTTAATTTCTCTGCCTCTCCTTAAGTAAGCAAAGGCATGCTAGTTGCGTAAATACATGCACAGTGGTTCCCAATCTGGAGGACCTTAACTCTTAGGAATTCAAGAGTAGGAATGAGAGTCACAAGCTATTTTCAATATTTCCAAAAGCCTAATGGAAACCGGATTGTTGCTATTTGATGTTTTATGCATACTCATGATGTGTGCCCCATATTAAGAATAGGAAATATATTATTACTTAATAAATGCAGTTTGTTTAGTAGACAAAATTTTTCAAAACGTGATGCCCAGAGGGGGAAAAGTAATAAAAAAAGGGAGGGGGCTATAGATGGTTCAAGTTGGGAACTATAAGCACATAATCATGTTTCATGGGTTCCAGATGCCTGTCTGGCACTCCATATTTTGCATGGGTTTAAAGAAAGAAAAATCATGGCTTATTCATTCACCAGGATTTTCTTGGTCTAAACTTAATGCCCTCCCTAATTCTACTGACTGACATGTTCTATAATCTATCTTAAGTGGAATATGCCCTGGGGTTCCAGGTATACCCTGAGGTTCTGTGGTATACCTTGGCGTTCTGGGGTATGCCATGCAGTTTTGGGGTATACCCTGAAATTTTGGAATGTGCCCTAGGATTCTGGGATGTCCCCTGGGGTCCTGAGGTATACCCTAAGGTTCTAGGGTATTCCTTGGGATTCTGGGCTATGTTTTAGGGTTCTGAGGTCCACCCTGGCATTCCAGAGTGTTCCCTAGAATTCTGGGATATGCCACCTTGAGAAAAGAGCCAGCCACTCAGTGAACCTGACATTCTCAGAAGCCTTTGCATTCTAAAAACATCTTACAACTGGTGTTTAATAATGTCCATAGCCCAGAATTATAAAATCCATCCTCTCTTGATTTTAAACAGCTGTTATTTATTTATTTATTTATTCATTTATTCATTTATTTGGTTGGTTGGTTGGAAAGAATGTAGGAGCCTGCAGAGGGAGGTTCAAAGCCCATGTTGGCCATTTTCTAGCAATAAGATCCTCTTGTCTCTGAGACTGTCTCATTCTTAACCATGGAGATAAAAGTCCCCTCCTAAGGAGCTAAGCTTGGGCATGGTAGCCCACTCCTCTAATCCCAGCATTGGAGGCTGAGGAAGGCACATCTCTGTGAGACTGAGATCAGCTTAGTCTACATAGCTAAATTCCAGGCCAAGCTGTAACTAGAGGGAAACCAGGCTTCAATTTCAACAAAAGGAATAAAACAAACAGCGCCTCCCCCGCCCCCTGCCCCTGCCCCCGTCCCCTGCCCAACTTCTATTTTCCCAAAGCACAAATGACTTCTTGGCATTGAAACTCTTTTGTAAATGGTCCGGAATGTCACAGGTGCTGGCTAAGATCGCCGCTGTCTTTGCAGTGAACATTGCCTATTGCAGTGGTTCATCCTCCTTCTCTGAGACTTCCTAGGCCTCAAGAACTCCACAGGGAGTTAACAGATCCGGAAGATGTTTTCTTCCTTCATCCCTTCATCGTATTATTTCCTCCTTGAATATGACATCAGCTCCTAACCCATTCCTTATTTCACTCTTCAGGTGGAACTCTGGCGTTAGCTGAGCTTCCTGCACCTCTTCGGTGCCTTTCCCAGCTTCTGTATCAGCTCTGTGCTGTTCTTTGACTTCGTCTTTACCTGCCTGTGACAGGGCACGAGTCCTTGGCAGTTCGACAGCTAGACGTTAGCTTCATCTTTGTTCCCAGCTCTCCTGATAAACATGAGTAATTCTCTCTGGGCCTCTTTTCAGTCATCTAGAAAATGAACAAGTAACCCAGACCCCCTCTAGACTTCCTTTCAGAACCGACATTTCAGATCCTCCTTAGTGCCTGGACAAAGCCTCACCCAAGTCAGTCCCTCTCCCTCGTTTGGTTTTCATGGACATGTATCAACATGGCATTGGCAGTCTTCGAGAGAGCACAACCTGAGGATGATCATCTAGGCACCTAGAACCTGCCTTCTAAAGGCCAACAACTGAGCTTCCCTTGCTTTTTTCCTTGCAGGCTCCTCCTAGCTAGGCATTCTACCACTTTTATTATGTACTTGTGAAGTTGATCTAGGTTTTCACCATTCTTTAAGGGCATGGATGCTAAAACTGAGGGACCCTCTTCGAGAGAGCACAACCTGAGGATGATCATCTAGGCACCTAGAACCTGCCTTCTAAAGGCCAACAACTGAGCTTCCCTTGCTTTTTTCCTTGCAGGCTCCTCCTAGCTAGGCATTCTACCACTTTTATTATGTACTTGTGAAGTTGATCTAGGTTTTCACCATTCTTTAAGGGCATGGATGCTAAAACTGAGGGACCCTAAGAGCAGTAATTATTTGAGGGCTCCTTGCCATCTCTCACCCCAGGAACTCCCTCCTTGGGGAAGGCAAGACCGGGGAACTCTCACAAGTCCCACTATCAGGCCACCTACTCCCCAGCATGCCCAAGCCCTGCTCCTCTGGTTCCACCTTCCCCAGCCACAGCATTGCTTTCCTCCTTCCCCGCTCTGTGGGCAATTCTAGACTGTGTCATAAGTCTTCCTGACACTTTATAATCACTTTTTGAAAACTGGAGTTAGTGCAGTCACATATCTTGGTACAAAACATATACCCTAATGTTCTTGGCTCCCTTCCTTGCTTGGGTATCACACAGGTGGCCAGATGGCTTCCAAGTAACCTTGCCCCTATGATCCTCTCTCTGCCCCAGTACCTGGATTCCCTGGCACACCTGACACCTAACAAGCTGCCTGTCCATCCCCCACCTCAGTTCCTTTGCTGACCCTGGAACACAAGCCACTCCAGATGCAGAGCCACACGATTAATTAAAAGCACCCCACGCTGATTAAAGTCTTAAGCTACAGTGCCAGGCATGCTAATTAACCAAATGAGGGAATTCAGACCACAGGAAGAGGTGAAAAAAGAAAGCCATGGGGCAGGGGCTGACTTCTGTTTGGAGAACAAATCAGATGACAATGTGACCTAAGCTATCATCATGATAGATGGTCTCAGAGACCATAGAAGATTGAGGTCCCTCCCCTGACCATTGGACTCCAGGAGAGGTGTTGATTGATGTGGCTACAATATGGCCTTTAGTGCTTCCAGAGAGGGAGTCCCAACCCCCTCTCAGGATCTCCCTTGGAGCAGGAGGGAGGTAGG